TGACAATCTCAACTATATGTGAGGCACTGAACTTTAGGTTAGATGAGGAGCATTAAAAAATCGAAGCCATTGGACTTTGTTAGCTATACTTGCATTATCTTTAGTTATTATAATGCTTCTCAAGTACTAGAAAAACATCGTTGCTTTACTGTGCACATGACATCCGTTTTTGCTACATGAAATTAGGAATTGTTTTGTGATATTTGAGAGGTGTATTAGGCAACTTCTTATCCTGCACTCTTGCACTAAAAAAGAAGGCATGCTCTTTCTCTCTTACTGCTTTTCTTTTAGAGTGTTCGCACCAACATCTGGTAACATTAGCTAATGCTCACACATGTCATCGGTACATTAGTCGGCTGTACAGGATGTCAGGCGGGTGTCGAAATATTGCAAAGGTAACTTATTCCGAAAATCACTTTAGAAAGCTTCGATACTACGTGACCCAAAAATTGTGCCACCATTATCGTTAATGATTCGCTCAAAAGTAAAATCTTAGAAAGTTATTATGCACACTAACCCTGCTAGAATAAGCGTTCAAATTCGTTTGTAGGCTCCTTGTGAAGATTATGACCGTGCACTTTTGTTGTATGTGAATGGTAGGGCTAAACGCACTACAACCTAACACTGTAGTCGTGTTTCTAAGAATAAGCTCCGTCTAAGACACATAGTTTGGGAAGGTAGCTTACTCTATCTCTATTGGTTTTCTCACCAAGAAGATTTTTCAAAAGGCTACCTGGTTTTTCTCAATCTGGTGGCTTTGGCGAGCGTTCCAATATGGAGAAAAATTGAGAGACTTACCCTAATGTCATCGTTTTTGTTTTTCTGTGTTGTTCTCTCACATTAACCATGTTGATTTCCTTTATTTCAATCCGTTTTGGTTTTTCTGTCCCATATGCTCACTTTGCCCGAAGTTAGGCGCATCATTTGCGATGTATATGATCAAAAGTAGGTTAAAATAACCATACCATAGTCGTCAAAGAAACAAAACACGTTTATTAGTAAATGCTCAG